GTAATAAAAATGTTCTGGTCCTAGATAGTGATAATGGTTGTAAACTGTACCAAATACCATTAAATCATACACTTTTAAAAAAAATGTCCTTCCATAGTTGTAGATGGACATAATGACTTGATTTTTATTTATATATTTTAATGTGGTGCTAAGGATTGAACCCAGTGCTTCACACATTGCTAGATGAGCACTCTACCACTGAGCTACAACCCCAGCCCTAAATCATACACTTTAAAATGTTTAAAATGGGGCTGGAGCTGTAGCTCAGTGGCAGAGCACTTGCCTAGCATGGGTGAGGCACTGGGTTCAATCCATAGTACTGAATAAAAAATAAGCAAATAAAATAAAGTCATGCTGTCCATCTACAACTACAAATAAATTTTTTAATAAAATCAATGTTTAAAATGATAAATATATGTTATGTAAAATTTTACTACTTAAAAAAAAATGTAGCCAGGCATGGTGGCACACACCTATAATCCCAATGGCTTGGGAGGCTGAGGCAGGAGGATCTCAAGTTCAAGTTTATCTCTAAATAAAATACAAAAGTTTATCTCAAGTTTATCTCTAAATAAAATACAAAATAGGGCTGGGGATGTGGCTTAGTGGTTAAGTGCCCCTGAATTCAATCCCCAGTACAAAAAAACAAAACAAACAAACAAAAAAAAAAAAAACATGGGGCACAGAGGCACATGCCTAAAATCCCAGGGACTCAGGAGGGTAAATGCACATCTGCCTCCATGAGCTTAGCAGCTTCCCAAGGCTTTAACATTTTGATAACCTGGTAGAGATAGTAACATATATTTTTTAAACTGCATAATGAAATATGTTAACATTAGGAAGATCTGCTTAACTTAGCAAACCAGAATTTCCCCAAAAGACTGATGTCACAAAATTGTGCATAAATTAAAGATTCAGTCAAAATGGAAGACAGACCAATGAATTTTAATATAACAGAATATGAAATGCTCATTGTTATGGTTTCAGATTCCACACTGCAGCTAACCTTTAAGAAACTATGACTTGTCAAGTTTTATAATAGTATGCAATATCGACAATTATCTAAAAGGCCATTAAGATAACAATCACTTTCCCAACCACATAGCTATGTGAGCTTTTTTTTTTTTAAATAAACTTCAATCAAAACAACATATCATTGGGACTGGGGATGTGGCTCAAGCGGTAGCGCGCTCGACTGGCATGCATGGGGCGCTGGGTTCAATCCTCAGCACCACATAAAATAAAATAAAATCAAGATGTTGTGTCCACCGAAAACTAAAAAATAAATATTAAAAAATTCTCTCTCTCTCAAAAAAAAAAAAAAGTATCACAATAGACTGAATGCAGAAGCAGATATAAAAACCCGGCTTTCTATTAAAGAGTTATAAAAATGCAAAACCATGTCTGTTTGCTCACATTTTTTAGTTTGAATAATAAAGTAATTTTTCAAGAAAAAAATGAATAAGAAATGATTTTATTATTTTTTAAAGAACATTAAATTTCTCAGTTTTAATTTCTAAGAGGTGAATACTGATAGATACAATTCATAAAAACAAAAACTCTTAGGGTTCTAATAATTGTTAAGAGTTACACAAAAGTTTGACAACCGCAATCTTAGATCATTCACTGTTTCTGTTCACAAATTGAAAAAAAAAAAACTACCCCATTCATAGATCTACAGTACTGGAAGACATTTAGATAGCTATGACTTAAACACAAAGTAAATGATCCAGAACAGATATCAAAATCTCTGGTCAAAATGTTTGGGATTGGGGCTGGGGATGTGGCTCAAGCAGTAGCGCGCTTGCCTGGCATGCGCGCGGCCCAGGTTCGATCCTCAGCACCACATACAAACAAAGATGTTGTGTCTGCCAAAAGCTAAAAAATAAATAAATATTAAAAAAAATGTTTGGGGATATCCTAGTACACAATATGATAGTAAGAAAAAAATATGTGCTCTGTTTTTTAAGGTAGGGTCATTAGCATGCCTTTCAGGCACATGCCAGGTATCCAGGAAAAGAAAAATCTACCATAGAACACACACAAAAAATAGATTCTATTCCCATTTTATACTACTTTCCCCATCTTCCCTCAACTAAACTGAGAAAAGAGATACTTGAGATCATCAATTCAAATGAAGATAGGAGAAAGCAAAAAAACCGATCTCATTGTTTCCTGGTTGCCATGGCTTGAGCAGCAGTGTCCTTCTGTCCTCATGTTCTGCCTCACCTCAGGCAAGCTATGAAGTCGCCAATCATGGACTGACTCTCTGAAACTGTAGTCTATGGAAAAGCCTAGGAGGTGAGAAACAACTAGGCAACCGCCACAAGGAACACCAGCCATTGCAGAAATGGATACTCCAGCCTCAACATTTGTCTTCACCTTATAAGAGATTCTGAGATAGAACCACACAAAAGACAGAATAAGCTGGAAGCTCTGAACCACCAAGAATACCTAGAAATGTGTCCTGAAGGGAGTACAGAATGGGATGAGAAGAAAACCAAGATAGACACATGGACACCAAACAGAGAACTGAAACGAGTACCAGAAAAAGCATGACAGCAGATAAGTCAAGGAAACAGTATTTTAAAAAGGATCTATAGTGACAAATGCTGCCAAGATATTATGGAAGATAAAGACTGGAAGCATCTTTTGGCAACAACAGACATCCTCAGGTTTGGAGATACACAAGGAAGCTTCATGTAGCTGGCTAACGAAAAGCAGAATACAATGATGGATTCTTGGGATTAGGGAGAGAGCATCAACACTTCTGGAAGTACTCAGTTTGTTTGTGAGGAGGGGAGATTTCAATGTAAGAATTTATAAAACAAGAAAAAAAATCAGGTAGAGAATAGAGAGTTACAAACTTCTTTTAAAAAAAAGAAACCAATCTTTAGGTAACACTTAAAAATGGAAAAGGCCCAATTTAAAAGAGAACTGAGTCAGTATATTAAAGGAAATGCTAAACTGAATATAAAATAAAAGGGTATAGCAAAGAAAACTAGTCAAAATCTAAGAGCTAAACTGGAGTTTTTCTGTACTGAATTGAAATGGGGGGCAATGAATGTTACTACAATGATTCAAAGGCTTCAAAATGTCCTAACCTATGAAATGATTGATAACACAAAAGCCCATGATGCTCACTGTGATTTTATCACCAAATTCAGGATGAAGAGGTGCACAGGCTTTAAACTGAGAGATCAAAGTCAGTCCAAAGGATAAGAGAGTGACTCAGTTAAACAAAACTGAAAAATATTTCAGCTTTCAAAATTTCTAATAGGCAAATGCAAAATAAAAATCTGGAATAGAAAATAAATGCTTATAATATGAAGTAATATGAAGATATCATAATTACAAATTAACAAATCAAATGGTTAAAAGATTTAAAATAATGTAATAAAGAACTTATTATGGGTCTGACATATAATAGAGTGATAAATAGTAATTATTAAAATTGGAGGGCTAGGGTTGTGGCTCAGCGGTAGAATGCTGGCCTTTCACGTGTGAGGCACTGGGTTCAATCCTCAACACCACATAAAAATAAATAAACAAAATAAAGATATTGTGTCCATGTATAACTAAAAAAAAAATTTTTTAAAAATTGGAAAATATGCATTTGCATAAATTTTCCAGAAAGGACACAGTGGCAATAGTAAGGGTTTTTCAAGAAGAGAGCAATCTGCCCACATATGTACTAGGTATGGAAAATCAGTTTCATGTGGAGTTGGGAAGCCAGAGTAGATCTACACAAATTCACTAAAAACACTGTCATACTAAGGCACTTTAGCAAAGAGCCATTTGTGGATATATTTGTTTCTGGAACTCAGTGATTTCTTAGAAAATAGAAAGCCTTCGCCCATTATATTTAGTTTTCAATATTAACAACACTAAGTAGAACTTCTGTGTCACAGGGTAGAGCCTTGTTTATACTTCACAGTGTAGGGCTGGGGAAGGACATATTTTGGGTCTGCACTCAAACAGATTAAGGTACATATGTCAGTAAGCTGTTTGTAATTTTGGTTTCAGAAAATTGTGTTTCTGGGCTGGGGATGTGGCTCAAGCGGTAGCGCGCTCGCCTGGCATGCGTGCGGCCCGGGTTCGATCCTCAGCACCACATATCAACAAATACGTTGTGTCCGCCGAGAACTAAAAAATAAATATTAAAAAATTCTCTCTCTCTCTCTCTCTCCTCTCTCACTCTATCTTAAAAAAAAAAAAGAAAAAGAAAATTGTGTTTCTTTACCTATACCTACCAATAAATTATAAAGTTTATTTCAAAAAAATTTTTTTTAAAAAGAAAGCAAATAAATTTGGGAGCCTACCTAGATTTTCTCCAGAGGATTTCCGGTTCAATGTGAACCATTTTCTACCCTCCCCTAACTGAAAAGACCACACAAAAACAAACTTCCAATTCAAGGTGGGCTTCTCTGCTCACCAAAGGCCTTGAATCAACTAATATATTGTGATGCCTTTGGAAACAGCTGTGGATGCCTAGGCTAGTCAGAATAGTCTGGATTTCAAACAGAATTCATAGGAAGGACCTATGTGTGATAATAACAAAAATTAACAATAGTAAACATTTTTCAATGTTTTGATAATGTTGATATGCACTAAACACTGTCTTAAACACTTTCTATAGACTAATTTAATCTTAATAATCATGTGATACTAATAAAACTTTCATCCCATTTTGTGCTGGTATTCACTACATCTGCATTGCATCACATCTGAAACGCCCATTCCAAAAGGCCATCCTTCCTGCCTATTATTCTGGAAAAAACAAAGGAAGCCCTGAGTTCCACAAAAATTTGACTTACTACCAACACACACTATTCAAATAACATATAAGATGTTAGCTTACTGAGGAGGAGGAGAAGGAATTGCAATACTCCTAAAAATAGTACATTAGATCCTAAAAAGGAAGAGCCAAAACAAATGAACTTCCAGGGATGCATTTAGGTACCTCTCAATTGAAATAAATAAATATTCCAGAAATATACCTGTTGGAGCCATCTTTCATATGGACTTTGGCATAAAGAACATCCACCATGCCAGGATCATCATTCATGTATTCTATTCCGGCCATCTCTACTTCCAAGGGTTTGCCCCCAGAAATGTCACTGAAAAAAAAATTAGAGTTATAAATGTTTCAGCTAAGAGGGTTATTATATTTTGAAACAGTTAATAAAGTCCAATATTACAATAAAATCTCTCTTTTTTCCTATTGATATTATCTAATTGTCCTTCTACTTTCAAAATAAATGCATACAACTGGAAAACACAGAAAGCATTTCCAGTATCCCCCTATATTTATCCCAATTTCCATTTGTTAGTACTCTTCAAGTGAAAAGGCCAAGGGATGGCAGCTCTGAGTAGCAGAGACATTTACTGTGTTGGCCCATCTCTTAGGGGTGCATCTCTCTCCATGAGTTCTCCAATTTACAAACAATCCTTTACTCATGTAACCATGGGAGTGTGTAAACTGCCATCATATCTCTAGAAGCAGTGCAGCAATATTTATGAAAAGCCTTCAAGAATAGAAAACCTTTGCTAAAGCAATTCCATTTCTAGGAGCCCATTCTAGGAAACATTCTATGAATTCATCTATAAAATCAACCAGAGCTGATGACCAAAGTTTTCCTTTACAAAAGAATTCCAATAAATGCAGAAGGAATAACAAGATTGGGAAATAGCCATTTGCAATCCCTGACAAAATAATGGTTCCAAGATAAAGATCACCAATGGCTAGTAAAAATGAAGCAAAAGGCTAGAGAAAACAGAGAGACCCTAAAAAAAGGAGCTCTAGAAACAAAGGACCATCGGGAGCACACCTGGAAAACTTCATTTCACCCCAAAACAGACGCTACTAGACAATCTTACTAGATGGTAAGATAAAAGTGATGTTTTACTGTTGTTTATAATTTTTAGTTTTCCAAAAATTAACATGTATTCATTTTAAGTTATATAAAAAACCCCACCATCCTATTTTCTTCCCAGATTCCATAAACAGGCATTTAATTCAAGTAGAAAAGTCCTTATTGTGCCAAACTGAAACCTAACTAAAAATCACCTCAGAGCTTCCCCCCAAGACCCAGGAAGCTAGGCCCCATCTTGTCCATCCCCGTATCCCCCTATTCCTGGCATAATGCCTTCCATGAAACAGGTGCTTAATAAATACATGAGATGAAAATTCTCCCATCAAGAGGGAAGGTGATCTGGTCAATTTTTAAAAACTATTTAGTTATAGATGAACCCAATACCTTTATTTTATTTATTTATTTTTATGTGGTGCTGAGGATCGAACCCAGTGCCTCACATGTGCAAGTTAAGCACTCTGCCACTGAGCCCCAGCCCCAGCCCAATGTGGTCAATTTTGAAAAGAATGTACTTATAGGAAAAAATGTGTACTGAGCAGTGGATGTGCACTGGTGCACTCCTATAATCCCAGCTTCTTGGGAGGCTGAGGCAGGAAGATAGCAAGTTTGAAGCTATCACGGACAACACAGAGATCCTGACTCAAAAAAGAAAGTGGTACTAGCTTCAAAGACAAAAGGATGTAGGATCCATCAAAAGACAATTCCAAAACACTAAAAAGTTCTCTTGATACTGAATCCAGGACACAGGGATGCTCTCTGCAGCCCATGCGTCCTAATTTGGGTAAGGATTCACTTGAAACTTTAAGGCCAGGTTACTGTGAGACAGAAATTTTTTCAGTAAATTAAATAACTCAATTATTATAGGCAGATACCTGATTAAGAGAAATTTTATGGCCTTGATCATTTGTATCCTGTAACCAGATTTTGTTTGTTTGTTTGTTTCTGTTTTTGTACTAGGGATTCAACCTCATTGAGCTACCTCCCCATCCCTTTTTATTTATTTTGAGAAAGGTCTCACTAAGTTGCTGAGGCTGGCCTCAAACTTGCAATCCTCCTACCTCAGCCTTCCAAGTAGCTGAGATTATAGATATGTATGAAGCTGGGTACTTCAAAACACAAGCCAAGCTCATCTCAGACCATCAATAATACAGTACATCTCCATTCCAATACACACACACACCATTTTTTTAAGAGCTAAAGTCTTGTTGGACCTAAACTCCAGGACTAAAAGCAATCCTCCTGAAAATCTGAGACCACAAGCACATGCCATGGGATTCCAGCTTCACTTATGTTTTTGAAACTCTAACCTTGCATAGTTAGATCACCAAAAAGTACCATAACATTCAGTTTCTCACTAAAATGTTTTTAATTATATTATATTTAATGTTATATCTTCAATTTCCAGGAGTTCCAGCTGACCACCTCCCTTGTCTCCAATCTTTAGGTGAGAATCAAAGCAGAACAACCTTGGGTGTGAAGTAAAGTCGTGAACTCTGAAGAGTTCCAAATGTTCAGCTGGCACGCAACCTGTCCTCTATCTATTCCTCCTGCTGTTAAGTGTGCAGCCCACATTGTACACTGGCCTCCTGCTGCTAAGAGCTCCTGAGTAATAAAATATCCAAATCCTTTCTGTTGAATCCTCCAAGTTCTTTCTTTTTGAGTCAGTAAACTGTACTCTGGGCTTCTGCAGCCCTGAAGTTGAACTGTTCTACAAAATTGTTATACTGCTTTTTATCTATAACAAAATCAGTGTGTCTCTTTTTAAAATTTAGTTTGAGTAGACTAAATTTAGTTTGAGTAAATACAATTACTATCTTACCATGATTTTCAGGTAGAATTTTCCACCAATTCTATCCTTACAGTTTCTGATCTCTCTGATTTTACCTATTTTTGCTGGTTGGTTGGTTGACTGGCTGGTTTTTGGTTTTTAGGAGCTAAAAGAAGTTAGCTGGGAACTGAACCTAGGTCTTTAGACACCTGAGCTACATCCCCATTCCCTTGACTTTAACAATTCATTTGTGTATATGTCCTCACTATAAACAAGCAGGATCCAAAGCCTCCTGCTTTATAGAAGAACCAAAAACTCTTGCACCCTTCTCCTAAGACATATCAAGAATATCAAAGAGCAGGAGAGAAACCCAATGGTTTGCCTGACGAATGTTCTTTGTCTTGTGGCCAAACGATTCAAGTTTTCAACTGAATGACACCTGAGGCAATAATCATGAATTAAGGGGCTGGGGCTCAGTGGCAGAGTTCTTGCCTCACACATGTGAGGCACTGAGTTTGATCCTCAGCACCACACAAAAATAAGCAAACAAAATGGAGGGCTGGGGTTGTGGCTCAGTAATAGAGGCTTATCTAGCATGTGTGAGGCACTGGGTTCAATTCTCAACACTGCCTATAAATAAAGGTCCACTGACAACAAAAAAATATTTTAAAAAATAATAATCATGAATTCACACTTGTTCATATAACTTCTCTTTTCTCCTCTTTCTTGTCCCTTTTACACTTATATGGTTGGACTCAAGGCCTATTAGAGAACACTTAGGCACAAGTAAGGTGACAAAGGAGCTAAAAGAAGTGTGCTACACATGTGTCAGGCTATATACTCAGAGCTACTGTGCCATTTCCATCCCACAGCTCACAAAGAAAAGTCACAAGGGACACATTTAAAGCTTCAGCTTTGCTAAACACTGAATAATTCATTCAAAATCTATATAGCTACATGAGCCCTTAGCCTAACAACTGAAATGAAAATCCTGTTCCTGCTTAGATAGCATCCTTTAAATTTAAAAGCTACTGCCCCCAATTTAAACATACACAACTAACTACCCATTTCTTTAAAATACCTAGACAGCACAGTAGTTGTACTCAAATTCCAATATAAGCCACATTTATTTTAATACTCCAATTTAAAATGCCATAATATTAAGCTACAGCAAATTATGCACTAGTCTATTTAGTTTCAATGTTTTCCTTTTCACAGTTAAATTGGGGAATCTTTGCATTATAAAGTGTGCAGCTTAGAAATGGCATTATGTACTGATATTTTTTCTAAATATACCAAGTGAAAATATTAAGGTCAAAGAGCAAGAATAAAGGGAAAAAAGTCAGATGAAATTATTTACTTACCAGGGCTTTAATAAAAGTACTTTTTATTTATTTTTTATTGGTTCTTTTTAGTTATATATGAATTCATTTTGGTATGATTATATAAGCATGGAATATATCTTTTTTTTTTTTTTTTTGGTACCAGAGATTGAACTCAGGGGCACTCGACCACTGAGCCACATCCCCAGCCCTATTTTGTATTTTATTTAGAGACAGGGCCTCACTGAGTTGCTTAGTGCCTCACCATTGCTGAGGCTGGCTTTGAACTCACAATCCTCCTGTCTCAGCCTTCTGAGCCGCTGGGATTAAAGGCATGTACCGGAGCCCAATTTAGAGTCCCATTCTTATGGATGTACATGGTGGTGGGATTCACTGTGTTGTTTTCATATATGTACATGGGAAAACTAAGTCAGATTCATTCCAATGGCTTTCCTTTGCTTAACCCCTTCCCTTCCCCCCCATTCCCCACTGTCTAATCTACTGCATTTCTATTCTTTCCCTCACAGTCCCCCATTATTGTGGGTTAGCTTTCACCTATTTGAGAAAACATTCGACCTTTGGTTTTTTGGGACTGGCTTACTTCATTTAGCATGATAGTCTCCAGATCATTGCTGGCAAATGCCATAAAGTTATTCTTCTTTATGGCTGAGTAATATTCCACTGTGTTTACATGTCACATTTTCTTTATCCATTCATCTGTTGAAGGGCACCTAGGTTGGTTCCATAGCTTAGCTACGTGAATTGAGCTGCTATAAACATTGATGTGACTATGTTACTGTAGTATGTTGATATTTTTTAACTCCTTTGGATGTATACCAGGAAATATGAAGAACTCAAAAAATACAACACTAAAAAAAATCAAATAACCCAATCAATAAGTGAGCAAAGGAACTGAACAGGTGCTTCACAGAAGAAATATAAATGGCCAAAAAATTATGAAAAAATGTTGAACATCTCTAGTAATTTGAGAAATGCAAATGGTGGTTCCATTTCTAATTTTTTGAGGAATCTCCATACTGCTTTCCAGAATGGCTGCATGAATTTGCAGTCCCACGAGCAATGTATAAGTGTACCTTTTCCCCCACATCCTCACCAACATTTATTGCTGTTTGTATTCTTGATAATTGTTATTCTGACTGGAGTCGAGTGAAATCTCAGTGTAGTTTTAATTTTCATTTCTCTAATTGCTAAAAACAAGAGGCCCAGAATAGCCAAACAATCCTCAGTGAAAAAAACAAAAACCTAAAATTATATAATAGTGCTACAGTAACAAAACCAGCATGGTATTGGCACCAAAACAGGCAAGAAGACCACTGGAATGGAACAGAAGACACAGAGACAAACCCACAAAAACACAGTTACCTCATACTAAACAAAGGCACCAATAATGTACATTGGAGAAAAGATAGCCTCTTCAACAAATGATGCTGGCAAAACTGGAAATCCATATGTAGTAGAATGAAATTTAACCCCTATCTCAAGCCTGCACAAAACTCAGCTCAAAGTGGATCAAGGACAGAAGAAAAGGTAGGTGCAGTACTCCAGCACACTGGCTCAGGAGCTGACTTCTTTAATAACACTCCTAAAGTGCAAGAAGTGAAATTGATAATCAATAAATGGGGTGGCATCAAACTAAAAAGCTTTTTCACAGTAAACAATCAAGAGCATGAAGAAAGAGCCTACAGAATGAGTAAAAATCTTTGCCTCCTGTACCTCAGATAAAGCATCATCTCCAGGAAATATGAAGAACTCAAAAAATATAACGCAAAAAAATAAAAATAAAAATAAAATAACCCAATCAATAAATGGGCAAAGAAACTTCACAGAAGAAATATAAATGGTCAAAAATATAAGAAAAAAATGTTCAACATCTCCAGTAATTTGAGAAATGCAAATATTTTTATCTTCAAGGAGATATCTCTTCCATTTAGGGAAACAAGACTTCTAAACATTCCCACAACCAATTCTAATTCTCATCTTCTTTCTCAGAATAATTTTGTACTATACACTTTTTAAACAAGTACATTTGGCAGAGGGAAGGTAGAAAAAGAGTGTTAGAGACGGCTGCTTTATTTTACTTTCTGGTTTCAAAGCTTTCCAGCTTTTTGAAAAGTGCATCTTCAAACAAATTTTTGCAGGCACCGCAGATTTTTGGCAGGGTAACTTTGTCCTATTTCAAAAGCTTTGCTGAATTTGAAAAACTACAATTACTGTTTTTATCCTGTCATGTCAGAAATTCTTAGGAACTATTAAGATTGCTCTTTATTCTCATGCACACCAACTTTGACATGCTTAAAGGCTCAGATTTGGCATTTAGTCACAAAGGCGCTAAGAAATACAAAAGGGAGAAACTCAGCTAAAGCTTCACCTAGCTTAGGATAAACCTTCAGTGATTAAAACCTGTGACCTGATTTTCATAAGGTAAGAAGAGCAAATTCCTCTCTAAAAAATATTTTATCTACTTTTAATATTTTTCTTAGTAGGATTATCCCAATGCCAGACAAGAAAATACAATTGCTTTCAATTCAGTTTAGCAAAAATTGAACTGAGAATATTTTAAAGTATTAGAACTTCAACCAGGTAAAACTGTCCTGCTTTGCAAAAAGTTTTATTTTGTACAAGTACAACTGCAAACACCTAATGATGAACACCAAATTATTTTGAATTTTAGGCAAAATAGTGAAAAAACAGACATGTCTACCATGAGTGAAGAACAAGACAGTTTAAGTCATTTCTACAAGATCATGTTAGAAAAGTGTGAGACCTGCACATAATCATGAAATTTTTTAAATCTACTTGAATAAGTCAGCTTTCAAATTTCTCTTCTTCCTCCATCTTAAATAAAAGGAGTGAAGTGAGAGGGGAAGAGAATGTTCTCTGAAAAAAAGCTGTGACATCAGATACACTTGTAAATTAAATTTTTACACATGTATGAAAAAGAACAATTTTGTCCCCAGAATTTTGCATGAATCAAAGCAAATTGCTTGAACAATTTTATATCCTCACTGACTCAAATAAAATTACTTGGAATTCAAAAAACGAAAAATGACCAGAAGCAGTGGTGCACACCTGTAGTCTGATCTACTTCAAAGGCGAAGCAAAAGGATCACTTTAGCCCAGGAATTTGTGGCCAGCCTGGGCAACATAACCAGATTCCATCTTTTAAAAAAGGAAGAAAGCCAGGCATGGTGGCACATGCCTGTAACCCCAGTGAGTGGAAAGGCTGAGGAGAGAAGAATCTCAAGTTCAAAGTCAGCCTCAGTAACTTAGCGAGGCCCTAAGCAACTTAGTGAGACCCTGTCTCAAAACAAAAAATAAAAAAAGCTGGAGATGTGGTTTAGTGGTTAAGCACCCCTGGGTTCAATCCCCAGTACCCCCCACCCTCAAAAAAATTGAAAAAGAAGAAAATGTGTGGAGAGGATACGGGGAAAAAGGTACTCTCATACATTGTTGGTGGGACAGCAAATTGGTGTAACCACTCTGGAAAGCAGTATGGAGATTCCTCAGAAAACTTGTAATAGAACCACCATTTGACCCAGTTATCCCACTCTTCAGTCTATACCCAAAGGACTTAAAACAGCATACTACAGTGATACAGCCATATCCATGTTTATAGCAGCTCAACTCACAATAGCCAAGGTATGGGAATAACCTAGGTGTCCTTCAATGAATGAATAGATTTAAAAAAAAAATGTGGTATATATACACAATGGAATATTACTCAGCTATAAAAAGAATGAAATTATAGCATTTGCTGGTAAATGGATAGAACTGGAAAATGTCATGCTAAGTGAAATAAGCCAATCCCAAAAAACCAAAGGGTGAATGTTCTCTCTGATTTGTGGATGCTAACAAAAACAAGAGATGTAAGAGACGGGAATAACAGAAATCCACTGGACTAGCCAAAGGGAGATAAAGGAAAGGGAGTGGGGAGGGGAACAGGAAAGTAGAATTAACTGGACATAACTGTTCTAGTCTTGTATTTGTATATACAACTAGGATAACTCCACATCATGTAGGACCAAAAGAGTAGAAATCTATATAGAACCTAATTATGAATGTATATTCTGCCAAAATACATTCTACTGTCATCGTATAACTAAAACTAAAAAATAAAAATATTTTAAAAAAAAGAAAAGGGGGGAGCCTACTGAGGAGCCAGGCACAGTGGTGCATACCTACAATTTCAGCTACTCGGGAGGCTCAGAAAGGAGGTTTGAGGTTTGGGAGTTTGAGGCCATTTTAGGTAACACAATAAGACATATGTCTCAAAAATAATAAAAAGAAGCCAGGCATGGTTCCACACACTTATAATTCTAGGGAGGCTGAGGCAGGAGGACAGCAAGTTTCAAGTCAGTCTCAGCAACTTACCAAGATTCTACCTTTAAACAAAAAATACAAGACTGGGGATGTAGCTTAGTGATACAGCACCCCTGGATTCAATCCTGGTTTCAAGGGGGGAAAAAAAGGAAGAAAAGAAAGTGTTCTGAAGTACAGTAAAGACTTTTCTAGAGAATGCTACTGTACTGTTTGAGTTAATGTGGTAGGCAGAATAATAGCCCTCCACAGATGCCCATATCTATTCTCTGTAATTTGTAAATATACTACCATAAATATCTTACAGATGTGATTTAGGCTATGGAGCTTGATATGGGTGATCAGCCTGGATTACCTAGGTGGGTTTCATCAAATTACACAAGTTTTTAAAGCCAACAACCTGCTGTGGCCACAGAGAGAGATTTGACAACAGAAGGGTCAGAGAGATGCAATGCTACTGAAGTTGAAGATGAAAAAAAGGGACCACTAGCCAAGGATGGCGGGCAGCCTCTGGAAGCTGACCTTTAAAGGCAAAGAAATAGATTATTACCTACAGTCTCCAGAAAGAACTACAACCCTGCCAACACCATCACTTCAGCCCAGTGAAACTCAGAAAGGTTTTCTGACACACAGATAATAAATTTGTGTGCTTTCAAGCCATTAAGTTTGTAGTAATGTCTCATTGTGGAGATAGTCCAATGTTAAGGGCCACAAATGAGTGAGCTGACAAACCTTGTTCCTATGTCATCTAGTCCAAAAACAAGTCTGTGATACCAAAAAGAAGTCAACCCAGGTTTACCACCCTTCCCCACTCTTGCAGATCACTCACTTAATAAACTCCTCCTTACAGCGCTGTAGCATCTCACATGTCTGCTGGATCTCTTGCTCACTCAAAAGCACCAACATCCCAATAGTTAGGTGAAGTTTCTTGGAATTCTGGAAAATGGAGCTATCAACCCCACGATCCTATAATCATAGGGATAAAAACAAGAAATTCAGCTTATACAAAAGTAAATGGTGCCAGATGTAGTGGCACACACCTGGAATCCCAATTACTCAGGAGGCTGAGGTACATTCAAGGCCAGCCCCAGCAACAGAGCAAGACAGTCTCAAAATAAAAGGGCTAGGAGGGCTGGGGTTATAGCTCAGCAACACAGTGCTTGCCTCACACATGTGAGGCACCAGGTTCAATCCTCAGCACCACATAAAAATAAATAAAATAAAGATATTGTGTCCATATTAAAAAATTTTTAGAAAAAAAATTAATAAAAGGGATAGGGATGTGGCTCAGTGGTAGAGCACCACTGGGTTCAATCCCCAATACCTCAAAGAAAAAATTAAAAAATAAATGGCTAGAACAGAATTGAGACCTCAGAAATAAACCCATACAAATATGACCAACTCATTTTCAATAAGGTGGCAAGACCACTTGATGGGGAAAGAACAGTCTCTTTAACAAATGATGCTTGGACAAGTGAATATCCACATGGAATAGAGTGAAAGTAGACCCCTACTATACAGAAAAATTAATTCAAAATGGATCAATGACCTAAAATTAATAAAGCTAAAGTTTCTCTTAGGAAAAAAAAAAACTAAATTTTTATAACATTGAATTTGCCAATACAACAAAAGAGATAAATTTGACTTCATCAAAATTAAAATGTGCATCAGGGTTGGGGTTATGGCTCAGTGGTAGAGCACTCGTCTCCCTAGTTTTGATCCTCAGTACCACATAAAAATAAATAAAATAAAGGTATTGTGCTCAACTACAACTAAAAAAATAAATATTTTAAGAAAAAACTGTGCATCAACAGATGCTCTCAAGAAAGTAACAATATAGATAAATAAATACATATTACAAATGGCTAAAAAGCACATGAAGATGTTCAACATCACTAGTCATTTAGGAAAACGCAAATCAAAACCACAATGAGGTACCAATTCATACCAACTAGGCTGGCTATACTCAAAATAATGGGGAAAAAAACAACTGCTGGCAAGGATGTGCAGAAATTGAAACCCAAATACAATGCAAGAAAGGGAAAATGATTCAGCCACTGTGAAAAATACTTTGGCAGTTACTCAAAAAGTTCATAGTTACCACATGACCCAGCAATTCTACTCCTAGTTATGTGCCCAAAAAGAAATGAAAATGAAACTCAAACACACGTACAAGCATGTTTCCAGAAGCTCTATTCACGTGGCTAAAAGTGGGAAACAGTCCAAATGTACATCAGCAAATTAATGGATACACAAATTGTTTATAATAGATTATTATTCAGCTATAAATAGGAGTGAAGTACTGATACATGCTACAATATGAATAACCTTGAAAACGTGATGTTAAATGAAAGAAGCCAGGCATAAGAGAACACATGTTGTATTACTCCATTTATATGAAATATCTACGTGAGGTATACACAGAGACAGGACACAAATGGGTGGTTTCTAGAGACCAGGTGATTAGGGAGCAAATGCTTAACAGATATGGGATTTCCTTTTGAGGTGATAAAAATGCTATGGAACAATACAGAGCTAACAGTTACACAACAAAACAAAAAAAATTTAAAAAATTAAAAAATTAAAAATAAATAAAAAATAACAGTTACACAACATAAATGTACTAAACGCCACTGAACTGTTTACTTTAAAATGGTTAATTCAATGTTATGTGAATTTCACCTCAATAAAAAAGTACTTAAGAGCCAGATGTGGTGGTACACACCTGTAATCACAGCTACTTGGCAGGTTAAGGTAGATGGATCATAATTGCCAGGCCAGCCTCAGAAACTTAGCAAGACCCCACCCTAAAAGAAAAAATAGGAATGGCTAGGGTGGGGTGTAACTCAGGGGTAGAGCACCCAAGTCCAATCCCCAGTACTGGAGAGAAAAAGTACTCAGGGACTAGACATGTTGCTCCATGGTAGATTGTTACTTAGTGTGTGTGCAAGGCCCTCAGTTCAGTTCCCAGCACCCTAAATAAATAAATAAGGAAACACTAGCCTGATAAATTGGCTTGGCCCAGGAAAAACAAAACACCATCTAAATGTAGGTTTAAGAATATCTTTTGGGGGCTGGGGATGTGGCTCAAGCGGTAGTATGCTCGCCTGGCATGCGTGCGGCCCGGGTTCGATCCTCAGCACCACATACAAACAAAGATGTTGTGTCCGCCGAAAATTAAAAAATAAATATTAAAACATTTTTAAAAAAAAAAAAAAAAAAAAAGAATATCTTTTGGTCCTTACCAGCTTTATTAGTATCAGAGCAAGTGGACTTTTTTAATGGATGCCTCCAAAAAGTAACATACTTTTTATTAGGAAAAAAAAAGGACTATTTCATCTTTCAGTAGATATTACAGTATTTTCATGTATAATACTTTGTACTGAAAATAAATTCTGAGGGCTCAGGACATAGCTCAGTGGTAGATTGAGATCCTAGGTTTGATGCCTTACACCACAAACAAACAAACAAATAAACAAAGAATAAATTCTACCAGGCAAAAAGATGAGTGAAAAATTAATTTGGAGAAATATTTAGATAATGGAATTGGCACATCAAACATGGTCATCTTTTCCTGGCATTGTCATTCCCTGCCTCTAGGAAGCAGAAAAGACAAGTACACCTCATGTATCTTTTGTTTTTTTTTACTGAGGTACAATTTGTTTAACACCCAATTAACCACTTTGAAGTGTATAATTGAGTAGTGTTCAAAAAATTCACAATGTTACACAACCGCCAGTTCTTCTTTAGTTTCAAATAAATAAAAACCTTTTCATCACCCATCAAAACATTCTGTATCCACTAAGTAAATAATCCCTCTCCATTCCCCATCTCCAGTAACCACTAATTTGCTTTCTGTCTCTCTGGATTTGCCTATTCTGTATATAGCCAAAAAAGCCAGGGGGGGGGGGGCAGAAATCATACAATATGTGATCTTTGTGACTAGCTTCTTTTATTTAGCATGATGTTTTCCACGTAGATCCACATTGTAACTATGTGAAAGTATTTCATTTCTTTCCAGGGTTGAATAATATGCTAGTATTACGTATATACCACTATTTGTTTGTAAATTCATCCCAAATCGGCATTTGGGATATTGCACCTTTTGGCTATTATAAATAGTGCTGCTGTGAACACGTGTGTACAACTATTTGCATTGACAAATATTTTCAAGTTCTTCAGGCTCACACCCAGGAGTGGAACTGCTAGGTCACATGGTAATTCTCTATTTAAATTTCTTCTTTTCCTCTTCTATTTTGGTGCTGGTAATTGAACCCAGGCCCGTGAGCATGCTAAGCATATGTTCTACCACTGACCTATACCCTCTATCCTTTGTCTAGATTTTTAAGGACCACCAAACCATGTTCCACAGTTGTCGCAATGCTCCTAGTAACAATGTATATATATAAAAGGTTTTCCACTTCCACCAACACTTATTAACTTCCTTTAAAAAAAAATTACAGCCATCCTAGTGTGAAGTGATATTGTCACGGTTTTGACTTGTATCATGTGTTGACCAATGCTGTTGAACATTTTTCAATGTGTCCACTTGGCATTTGTATACCTTCTTTGGAGAAATATCTATTTAATTCCTTTGTCTATTTTTTTAATATCTTTATTTTATTTATTTATTTTTATGTGGTGCTGAGGATTGAACCCAGGGCCTTGCACATGCTAGGCAAGCACTCTACCACTGAGCCACAACCTCAGCCCCTCCTTTGTCTATTTTTAAATTGTCTTTTTATTGTCAAGTTTTAAGAGTTCTTTACATGTTTTTCTTTCTTTCCCTTTTTTGAGACGTGGTTTCACTATGTTGCCCAGGCTGATGTTGAACTTGTACACTCAAGTGATCCTCCTTTCCCAGCCTCCTGAGTAGACTATGATGTGTCACCATGTTTGGCTTTTATATATTTTTTACACTAGTGAACATATCAGATCACGAATCCCTTTTAAAAGTAGGTAAGTCTCAGGCTGGGGCTGTCACTTGAACACTTGCCTTGCATGTGTGAGGCACTGGTTTCAATCCTCAACACCACATGAAAATAAATAAATAAACAGCAGAGATACAACTAAAAAAATATTTTTTAAAAAGCAGGTAAGTCTCAAATATCTCCTTCTGTAAATGAAAACCAGAAAAAAGCTGAGACTATTTCTAATGGGAGCAAAGCAGGAATTCTTTGAATTGCAAGTTCCCTAATCAGATCTCTGGCCTTGTAAAAGAAAAAAAAAAAAACCCACCCCAAAGGCAGAGAGAGATGTATTTATCAAACACACAGACAGTGTGCATCCTGTTCTTGGCTTGCCTAAATTTACTGCCTAATTTTTGCCTTGGCAACAGTCCTTAATAGATTATTCATTTTCTATGTGTTAATAGAGCTTGAGCTATTTTTAAATTTGATGAAGAGTTTTGTGATTCCACACATCAACCCAAATTGCTTCATTTTAATGAAAGTGATTTTAAAGAACAATCAGCTTTAAAAGTGTCAAGGAAGGCTAAGTGCAAGGCTTATCACCCAGCTGCTCTAACCCCAGGCACAACATGTCACTCTAGAAAAGGCATGCAAAACTCCCGCAAATGATTCTACAAACCCATCCCAAAGAGCACTGAGAATTGGTCTCCTAATAATGGCTAATTTGTTGGGTCCTTACTCTGCTCTAGGCATCTTCTGTACACTTTATAGATGTACTCTGAGTACTATTATCAAGCAGGAAACTGAGGCAGTGACAAAGTAAGCCACTTTCCCAAGGCCACTACGCTGAGAAGGGATAAAATAAAAAAGTCAAACCCAAGTGGTTAGGCCCCAAAGCCTGCCAGTTGCCCAAAGGAGGTTGGAAAACAGAACCACCAATAAGAGGCAAGTAAGTCTGAGAAGCAAGTCTTCACGCATTTCAGCAACACTCACATGATGAATGGGTCTAATCACTAAATTAGTTCTGGGTATAAAAGAAATCAAATATTATAAGGA